TATTATTTTGTTCTTAATTGAATTCGCAAATGGGCAGTGAACAACAACTTGGAGCAGTGGATCCCAATTTGCAACCATTCTGTTACTGAAGGGCATCATCTTGTCTACCAAAGGCATTAAGTGGTAAGCTATGCAGAGTAAAGTTACCTTGGTACCGGCCGTTGGTAACTAAGAATGCGAAATGTGGATGTCCAATAAATCCTTCTGTACTCAGATACAAAATATCTTCAGTTTTTACTGCCCCTCTTCCTTACAGTCAAAGCTTAATATGCAGTTGTCCTTTACATATAACAACAAATTATCTTTTCTTTTTAGAAAATGCTCTCTCTGCAGATTAAAGGCACGAAGGATATTTCCGGCCCATATTCCATGCAGTTCCCCAAATCCGTTTCTCCCTCAAAGGCTAAAGCAAAGCTGAATAAAAAGAAGAACGCCCTGACTGTGCATATTCCCCTTGAATAAATGTTTTTTTTTTTTCAAATACAATTTTTGTTAAACTATTTTACAAGAGACAGTCAAATTGCAAGGACCTTTTTCTGAGAACTTATTCTACCCTCTGCAGTATTTGACAGGTTTGCTGGCTGTCAAACTAATGCTTGACTTCATTTACTACGCTTTCAAAGAAAATAGGTAACGCGTTTGTGTTTGTGATTCTACCCAGTTTATTTGACAGAACTGTCTACTTGTTTCGTCCTAGTAGGCATGTTTGGTTAAACTTTGTGATAGGCGTTGCTTGTGTTACCATTACGGTTGCACATATATATAATGCGCATTTGGCTTGAAGCAAAGATTCTGACCTCCGTGGTAAATTAGAAAACGAATCGTTAAAAAGCTAGATTATGCCGCGTAGTGAACACTTTGCGGGTAGGACGTGTCATCCGGTGAGACAGCTTGACTACTGAAATCTGGACAGTAGGCGAATTAAGGAACGGGGGGAAGAACTCAGCGGTGATTGTTATGCACGTTGCAACGTTTTATATGAAAATGTCTGCATTTTGCCTGCGGTATGCTTATTATACGAGTAGAGCGTCTGATTTCGAGTCCCGGTCGAAACTGACGAGACAAAGAACATACGAAGAAGTGTGTTCTTAGTATTCTGGCATAGACAGGCAAACCGCAGGATAGCTAGTTCGGGCTATTGGCCCTAATCAGCTACGGGCAGCCAACTCTAGTGTAGCCGCTGAAATTGCCGCCTCGAGTTTCGAACTTGTGCCTCGCCGGTCACGGGCGGACGTCCTAACCATTGATCCACCGAATTCGATGTCTTGCCGGTTGTTGAACAGGAGTATATAGTATTTGTTAGCAGACCGATCTATCTCTCAAGATGTGCCCATTCTGGAATGATGCTTTTGCGACTCGCTCCAACCGATCGTATGTTTCGAAAAGCTACTAATAATTGATATGCTACTCGCTAAATGTTAGTAACGCATTTTTTTATGTTCTTAGTATTCCGGCATAGACAGGCAAACCGCAGGATAGCTATTTCAGGTAAGTGAGTTAGACCGTTAGGCTTCTGGCCGGCAGAGTGGAAGTTCGAGCATCAAGTGGTGTACTTCCTGGGATTTGGCTCGCTGATGATGGCTAATAACAATGTCAGTCAGCGTGTTTTTCGATCATGCATTTCTGATCATAATATGGTATTCATTTAGCGGCTGCAGGCCGCACTGGACAGTCAGCCCCAAGGCACAATTGGACGACTATTTCTTGTAAGACGACCAGTGAGGATCCATATACACTATAAGCATGGCTATGAGAGATCATGATGTGCTCAAAGGTGTGAGCATATTTGTTGAGGCTACACGTGCCGTCAGTGTCCTTGTTCGCCGCTCGGTCGCTCGTGTGGATTTTAGTCTAGCTTGACGGCAGTTAGTCTACGCCGTAGAAGATGCTTGTAATCCTACATCCGCTGCCAATAATTTCTTCACGGTGG